ATATATATTAAATTAATTAGTATTTGTTTAAATATGTACACAAAAACATAAATATATATATATATATATATATATATATATATATAAGAAAAGAAAAATAAATAAACTTAAATAAATAATTAATAAGGTGAAGTTCAACATCTTTTAATTTCTCACCTTTTTTTTTTCCAACCAAATAATCGTACTTATTTTTACTTTCATATTTTTATTCTTTATACCTTAGTTTTTATCCATTTCCTCTCTTAATTAAACAAGTGAATAGTGAGTGAGATTCACTTATGAGTTGTAACTCGTTTCAAATTGGAGATGAGAAAGATTTAATCGAATGGAAGAAAGAGGATCAAAGGATTAAAACGCACCGTCTGGCGTCTTGGACAGCCATATTGGGCAGGCCTAATGTTAGGTCGTAGATGAGAATCCCCAATTACTTCTTATGATTTTTTTCGTAAATTTCTTATAACAAAAATATATGGAATTTTTATTATTTAACTTATTGTTCATTATAAATATTTTATTTTATATTATTAAAATTTATAATAAATGATTTTTTGAATATATAAATTATATTATAAAAAATGTATAATAAATAATTTATGTTGTGATATAAAATATTTTAATTATTGGTAAATAATTGTAAAAAAAATATTAAAATTTAAATTATAAATAAAAATTAACATAATAAATTAAAAATTCTAAAAACAAAAAACTTCTTCAAACATACAAACACTTCTATTTAATATAATTGTTTGAAGAGAATTAATGTTAAGGTTTTCATTAATGTGTGCATGTGAGGGTTAAGGTTTTCATTTTAATACGCTAAGCCTTTCTTTTATAAATCATATTATGTGTATTGTGATTTAATGAGAGAGGAGAACCTGAGACAATTAGAGAAGAGCTCGGAGATCAAAACCCTGATTTTAGTGTACATTAAGATAAGGGAAAATGAGAACAACACTTTGAAGTGTGGGTTAATTGTTGGGTAGTGGAATTGACTCCTAATCCCTAGGTTATATGCATACGTATGTGAGTAAGGTATTAAACCCGAACCTAGTATGAATCTACCATGTATAACTATTGTGTTTTAAATGATATATGCATGTGACTATATGTTTGATCTATGAGTCATCTTTGTTTATGAATTTATGAGTGTTTGTGGTTTCCAAAGGGAACCCTAAGGAAGAATACAAAGAAAATTATTGAAGAAACAATTGACTATAGTAACTACTGATGATAGAATAGATTAATTAGACTTTAGATGCCCCTTTACTTTATTAATTGTGAGATATGGGAAATTATATGTTAGAGAATTGCAAAGTATGCAAGTTTCTAAGTAGATTCCCTCAAAGCGAGAACTTTCTCGCTCCAAGTGAGCTTATGCAACCAAGTCTAGCTTGTCCTTTGACTTGACTTGCTTAGAGTGAATTATGATTGCCTTGAGCATAATTCAGTTGCTCAAAAGGAGCACTTACACACTTAGAGCAAGGAGATGTGGTGATTCAAGGGTGTTCCCTGACTATGCTCACTTGAAGCGAATTTCTAGGTGCTCGAAGTGAATTTTCGTTGCTTAGAGAAAGCCTTGGTTCTTATTTTAAACTTACTTGTTTAGAATTGGTTGTCAATATGATGTGAGATGAAGAATCAATGTTGATTATTGTATGTTGATTAATGAACATGAACAAAGTAAAGTGACCTATTATATTGTAAAACATGTGAAATATGAAAAGTTCTAGTGATCTTGTAAAGTCTAAGTATAACTTCGTAGCATTGAGAATTGTGATAAGTGTTAGGAATTGTGAAATATTAATCTAAGTGCATGTGACTTGCGTGAATATGCATAGAGTTGTGTGTGTCATTCATCATAAGTGATTTTTTTTATGGGTACGATGCAAAATACGCCACTCGAGAAGCCCCCTTGTGTAAAATCTTGGGGATCAATCCTCGGAGATAGTTTGGTTTGGAAAGCCTCAATCTCACCCGTTGTGTGCATGGAGCAAATCTTGTGCGACTTAGTTATCCTGAAGAGACCCAAGTAATATGTCCTTCTAGTGTAGAGTGTTGTGATAGGTTGACCTAGCATGTACTCCTGAACTACTTAGCCTTTAACCAGTGGTAATAGTTTTACTGGTACCATATGCATATAGATAAAAGAGTTTTATTTGAACATGGCATATTGTTTGCATTTGAGTTATAAATCTGATTTATGTGGTGATGTGGTGAAATATGAGTTGAGAATTATTGCTTTAATTATTGCAAGGTCATGTATGGATTAATTATTGATAAGCTTATGTATTTTCCATATATGTGTATTGTTTTTGTATGGCTACCCAACTTTTTCTTACATCGGTAGTCAGAGTGAAATATGTTCTCACTCTCATATATTTCCTTGTGTTTATTTCGATATCTATATGTAGGTGATTTTCACTTTGGAGGAGTTTACTTGAAGGATGAGAATGCTCTAATTACACATGACATCAAGGTTTACATAAGAATATTTTCATGTTCTTTTGTAATAGGGATTATAGTTTATTTCTTTTAAAAATGTTTCTACAATTTCTTGTAATAGTTTGGTTTAGCATTAATTCTTGAATTTAGAATTTAGAATTTAGAATGTGGTACATTTTGTCTCTATTTTAATTTAAATTATTTAATGAAGTATTTGCTTTAAAAATTATATTATTATACATAAGAGTTAGAGGGTGTCACATCCAATATGAATATGAAAAGGAATAAAATAAAAGATAATGTGATAAAGTTAGTTTAAAGTGCATTAACTTCCACATACAAAATGAAAACAAAAATTCAATAAAAAATTGGTTTAGGATAATAAATGCGTGACATTAGTACTAATATATATATATATATATATATATATATATATATATATTAATTCCGTTTCATATAATGTATAATATATACTTATTTCTTTTATAACTTATACATATAATATATACATATACTTGATAAAAAAATATAAATTATATTGAAAATTGTGTTTGGATAGAAAATTTTAAAATTTTAAAGATTCAAGATTTTAGGGTTTTATCAAAGTGTTATAACTG